GTCCAGGGCTGATTGATTCGTGGCCAGCGGAACAGATTGGCCCTGACGCGGGGGGGGGGGGGGGGTGCATTGCGACTGACTCGCGTGCGCCTGCCTGTTCTGTCTGCCTGTGTGTGAGAGAGAGAGTCTGTGTGTGTCTGTGTTTGTTTGTGTGTGGGGAGTGGTAGTGGAGCGCTTAGCGCGCTGCGCTATGAACCTGGCGACCCGGGGTCGATTCCCGCTCACGGCCAACACCAGTGACGATTATCTGATCCAGTCCTGGGCCTCCCCTAGGTCGACTCAGCGTGAAATGAGTACCTGGTGCGGTGTTGTAAATATCGCCACTAGGGAGACAAATGCGGTCGGGCGTGGTGCTGGCCACCCACCCCCTTGTGTACCGTTCCAGCCTTCATAGGTGCTCGCTAACAGCACTTGCCCCCACAGTCTGTTAAGGCTATACGGGGGATCTTTGGCTTTGTGTGTGTCTTTGTGTGTGTGATAGGGGGCGGTAGTGTAGTGGTTAGCGCGCCACGCCACGAACCCGGTGGCCTGAGTTCGATTCCTGCTCACGGCCAACACCGGTGATGATTGTCTGAACCGGTCCTGGGCCTCCCCTAGGTCGACTCAGCCTCAAATGAGTAACCTGGTGCGATGTGTAAACATCGCCACGAGGGAGACAACGTCGGCCGGGCGTGCTGTTGGCCACCCAACCCCTCGTGTGCCGTACCGGTCGGCATAAGTGCTCGCTAACAGCACTTGCCCCAACAGTCTGTTAAGGCTATACGGCGGACCTTAGCCTTTTGTTTGTGTGTGACTGGGGAGTGGTGGTGTAGCGGTTCGCGCGCCGCGCTACGAACCAGGGAGACCCGAGTTCGATTCCCGCTCACGTTCGCCAACACCCGCGACGATGATCTGAACCCCCGAGGTCGACTGTAACGCTTGTCTGGTGGGATGTGTAAAACATCGCCACTGGGGAGACAAAGGCGGCCGGGCGTGATGCTGGCCACCCATCCACCCCCTTGACAGCACTTGCTCCGACAGTTTAAAGCTACCCGGGAGACATTTGTCTTTGTTCGAGCGACAGCCCTCCCTGGGGGCTCATCGGGCGAGCGATCGGGAGGTTGCGAGTCGATATCCTGGTTGGGGGTTGACTCGGCCCATCATCCTTTCAGGGTTGGTAAAAATGAGCACCACTTTGTGTGGTGGAAGGAGACAGTGGTTGCTCCCATCGTAGGGATGTGGAATTTCCACTGCTGCCTTGGGGCTGTAAGCATGAGATGGGCAAAGCCACAATGCTCAATTGAGTGGGTAATCACAGAGTGTGTGTGTCTGTCTGTATGTGTGTGTTCCTCTGTATGTGTAGCGGTTAGCGCGCTGCGTAACGAACCCGGCGACCCGAGTTCGATTCCCACTCACGGCCAACACCAGTGACGATTATCTGAACTGGTCCTGCGCCTCCCCTAGGTCGACTCAGCCTCAAATTTGTACCTGGTGCTGTGTGTGAACATCGCCACTGGGGAGACAAAGGCGGTCGGGCGTGGTGCTGGCCACCCACCCCCTCGTGTGCTGTGCCGGCCTTCATAGGTGCTCGCTCACAGCACTTGCCCCTACAGTCTGTTACAGGCTACACGGGGGATCTTTGTCTTTGCAGTGGTTTGCGCGCTGTGCTACAGACCCGGCGACCCGAGTTCGATTCCCGCTCACGGCCAGTGACGATCATCTGAACTGGTCCTGGGCCTCCCCCAAGGTCGACACTTAATGAGTACCTGGCGTAGTGTGTAAACGTCACCACTGGGGAGACAAAGGCGGCTGGACGTGTTGTTGTGTACCGTACCGTGCCGGCCTTCATAGGTACTCGCTAACACCGCTTGCCCCAACAGTCCGTTAAGGCTATACGGGGGATCTTTGTATTCGTTGTCCTGTCTGTGTCAGGCTTTGTGTGTCATCTTCCTTAATCGGTGCTCGCTAACAGAGCTTTGCTTCCATCGTCATGTGCATGGATACCGGGACAAATTGTTATCGCTGTGGGTCCCTAAAGCGCTTTTCCATCCTGCAGTGAAATTACGGAATTGTACAACGTCCCCTAGGTTACATCATACAAATACACATTGCGCTGTCCTGATGTTTCGGTTTTATTATCACACAAATTGTGCGGGAGTGGCACTCACTCGGTGCTCAAATCCGTTCAGGTTGGGATAATTTGGCTGCATTTGGGATACTTCACCGGCGGTGTTGAAGCTGTGGTCGTCACCAGCAGCAGCAGCAGGAGAGAGGCTTCCAGGTTAAGATTCTCGGGCTGATGGAAAAGTTCCTAGCAACGTAGAAAGGAACGTGAGTGATTTCCATCGATGTCCGTGACACAGTCCTCTTGCATCATCATTACCGTCATTATCATCATCGATGTGACCACGCTCCACGGAGTAACTCTCTCTCTCTCCCAGCCCTTCCTCTGTCTCGCTGCTCAAAACCACTCGCAGATGCACGCCTCTCACGTAGCTCCACACCGCCGGCCCCAAGCCACGAGCTCCGTCCGCGTTGCATTCGCAATCGCAGGGCCGCTCGCCGCTCACAAACCACGCCATGGGCAAGCGCCGTGCGCCGGGCGTGAATTCCAATGCGGCTGCAAGAAAAAAAATATAAAAACATTTGAAACGCAAAGAGCCTGGGGTTGAAATAGAGGTGGCAGCGATGGTGGTGGACGTGGGTGGGGAGGTGGGGGGGGGGCGATAGATCGAGCGAGTTAATATCTAAATATAGCGATGAAAGCGACCGGGTCGGGGTGGGGGTGTCGGCGGCTATGATGGCAATGCGAAGCGTATTGCTTGGAGGGGCTCGGAGTCGTGGGGGTTGAGCTACAGGGCTGGAATGCGAGGCTACGGTGATGATGATGTTTGTATTGAGCGGTCCTCTGCCGAAAAAAATGCGCCCTTGCACATTCATACGTGCGGGGGGAGGGGGGGTGCACGTACAGCTATGGGCAGACTCTTATGGCAAAGCGCGATCAGCACCTATGAAGGCCGGCACGGCACACAAGTGACCAACACCACGTCCGGCTGCCTTTGTCTCCCCAGTGCTGATGTGAACACACACCGAGCCAGAGACTAAATTTAGGGCTGAGTCGACATAAGGGGAGGCCCAGGGACGGTTCATAAAATCGCCGGGTTTGTAGCACAGAGCGCTTCTCTCCCCACACACACACACAGCAAATGCACAATCACACACTACAAACAACAAAGATCCCCCATATAGCCTTAACAGACTGTAGGGGCAAGTGCTGTTAGCGAGCAGCTATAAAGGCCGGCACAGCACACGAGGGGGTGGCTGGCCAACACCACGCCCGGGCGCCTTTGTCTCCCTAGCGGCGATGTTTACACATCGCTCCAGGTACTCATTTGAGGCTGAGTCGACCTAGGGGAGGGCCCAGGACCGGTTCAGATAATCGTCACTGGTGTTTTGGCCGTGAGCGGGAATCGTACCCGGGTCGCCAGGTTCATAGCGCAGCGCGCTAACCGCTAGACTACCGCTCCCCACAAACGCACAGTCACTCACACACACGCACTACAGACGGTGGCTTAGAGGCAGACGATTGAGCGAGAATAAACGTCCACAGGCAGCGACGCTTCCGAGAAAAATCTAAATGAAAGAGTTTCGCTGTGCCCCTCTGTGCGGAGTGAACGACGCGAGGACGTCACACTGCGAGCGAGGTCACGTGGCGTGCTCACGGGTAGGGGTTCGTCACAACCACGAGTTCACGGTGCCTGATTTTCATCATCATCATCATCAACACCATCATCGCAATACAATCATTGCGATCATCGTAATTATTGTCATGGTTACGACTGTATCAACATTATCATCATCATCAGGCTATCTCCACCATCATCATCATTACACAACTTCCTCGTTAATATCATCACTACTTTTCGATTTAAAGCTTTCGTGACTGCAGGGATTCATCGTTTTGGTTCTTTCGGTAAAGTCACGTAGAAGGGAAGTAATAAAATAATAAAAATAAAACATAATAAAATAATTCTCACGACGGCTGCTTGCGTTGTGTCCGAAACGTCGTGAGAATTATTTTATTATGTTTTATTTTTATTATTTTATTACTTCCCTTCTACGTGACTTTACCGAAAGAACCAAGAAGATCATCACTACTCTCACTGTCATTAACATGATCATCACCACCACCATCCGATGTTCGATCCTCACATGTCAATCGCACTCTCCTCCACCAGCCGATTTCAGGATTACGGAGCGCAGGGCTCGTATCTCTCCGTCTTTCGCGGGCCTTTAAATTGACGCAGCGGAGTCTCTCGCACGAGTTTATGAACGTCAGCGAGTGTAAGTTGCAACCCGGCGATTTCCTGCGGCTGGGGCACTCAGCCCCCAGTTCCGGGAGAAAAAAAATCGCTGGAATTGCAGAAGCCCTTGGCTGTTTAAATTACGGTGCGCCTGATACTCGGATACGAACTCAGGCTCTCAACGGCGGCGGTGCCAGCGTGTCTGGACCTCCGTGTTGCCCGTCTGAGTCGCGTCGTGGTGCAGGTTGAGGAGTTCAAGGACCGCGGCACGCCACCTTTGCTTTGATTTGTGTGTTGTAGATTTGAAGCTTTCGTGACTGCAAGGAATCATACTCATAGTTATTTCGGTAAAGTTACGTCGGTAAAAAATGAAATAAAAATTTATAAAAATAAAACAATAAATTAATAAAAAATCACGACAATAAAAATCACGACGTCGTGATTTTTATTGTTTTATTTTTATTACTTTTTATTTCATTTTTTACCTACGTGACTTTACCGAAAGAACCAAGAGTATGATTGTGTGTTACTCTGCCTTTTCCATTTCAGATTTCAGGGCGTTTGGAAAGAGAGGGTGGGGGGGGGGTCACGTGCCCGGTGAAGGAAGCTGCACGTGGTGCAATCTTCACTCGGTGTTCGCTCGAGAGAATTGTCCGTTTCATCTCTATTTGTTGTTGTTGTTGCATCGCCTTAATTGCATTCCAATTGTGCCCGCAGCGTCGTGTCATGAGATGAATACATTCATGTTCGGAATTCGGGCAGCGGAAACATCGCCGCACGCTTCGACGGAACGCTCCCGGAATTCGACGCCGCGATGCCCACGTCTACTCGAGTCGCGCTCCACTAGAACTCTCGTCCAACACGAGGTGGCGCACCGCCCTTGACATCTCCCCCCTCCAGAGGGAGTGTTCGTTCCGCGCGGCGATCAACCCCAACTATTTTTTTTATACTCGGAGCTGGCTATTTTAGCCGCATTAAGGGTAGCAGACGAACCCAATACGATCTCTCCTTTTTCTGTTGTTGGTTCTGTGTGCAGGCAATTTGGTGACCAGGGCCGACAGCGTCCACTTCGAGGACCCAAGTTGAATCGGGGGCGACTGAACCCCGCATTTTATCCCAGGAGACCTTCTCACACAAGTGCTGGCCAGCTTCGTCCGTCTGCCACAGAACCGGTCATCCGAGCCACCCAACCACCTTTGTCTGCGAGTGTCAATAAGTCGACACATTTCAGGTTCACGCAGTACACGAGTGCCCGGACTTTCCACCTGAGGTCACCCTTAGGCCACCCGTACTCTCACACCAAGACCTTCTGTCGGCGTGCCTTAGACGGAGAATTGTGACGGTGTTTCCCTTTTGCTTCCAGGAGAAAAGAAAAAAATCCATCCGACCGCGACGAGGCTTTACGCGCGCGTCGAGATACCGCACGTGCCGTGTCATGTGCTTTTTGTACTTTTTGTTCACCCTGATGCTCGTTGTTGTCGTCGGCTGACGTCCAATTTGCAAGAACGACGACAACAACAGCGGTAGCAGCAGAAACAGCAATAATAATCAGCAACGCTATGAGTATTTTTAGGTTTTTTCGGTAATGTCACGTAGGGAAAAAAATAAAAATTAATAAATAAAGTGATTTATTAAATTAATTAATTGAATTAATAAAAGCTATGAGTCCAAAAGCAGCGATGGCGACAACGTCAACGTGAGCGACGCGAACATCGGCAGCCGCGGGGTCGTGAAGAGGCTGTGCGAGATGCGCTGCTCGTGACGCAACCGCGTCGCTCTCCTTGATTCGGCAAGCGGTGTCAAGGTGAAAAAAGTCTCTCTCGATAGATCTTTTTTAAAACGCACAACTTCAAGAAACGAAGCATTGCAAACTGCAGTCTTCCTCCACCGACGGCCCTCTCGACGCGTCATCACCACGGAGCATATCGGGAGGAGCGTGCGGAGTTTTGTGGCTTTTTCGCCGAGCGACCAAAGACTTCGTGGCGGTTGGGTCAGTCCTTGGTTGTGGAGGGGGAGGGGAGTGCAACAGCAAATATTGTACTGTACTCTGCTCAACAATTCGAGCAGGAAAGACGCATCGCAGAATCGTCACGAGGTGGCCATCTTCGTCAGCGAAATCCTCCGGGCACAGGAGGCAACTTCTTGGCCACGCGTGGAGCCCCGCGAGTGAAGCGCTACGGGCTGTAGTGGTGGTGGTGGTGGTGTTGTTCATATCGTCGTTTTCATCATCGACAGAAGCGGCTTGCGAGGGCACGGCGAGGCGGAACATGGCACCGCAGAGTCCGAATTCGTTAGCAACCGCTGGAGGCAACGCGCGGTGTTGAAGCGACGAAAGCGAGAGAGACGGAGAGAGAGAGAGAGGGAGGGAGGGAGCGGAGAAACTGCCACGGCGCCACGAAGGCAAGCGACGGGCCCACGATGCCACACGATGGTGCCGGCAAGACGCACGCGTAGCTGGAGTCACAACCGTGAGTGCGGCTTGCGGAGCGCGACGACTCCATTGGTTGTGTCTTGGTATCCGGCTCTCTGATGTGTTATTTCCTAATAATGTTTTTTTTTATCCTTTTATCTGGCACAAGACGGACACCTTTTTACAAGGGATCATGTTTGCATTAACCACAATACTTGTGGTCAAAATGCAAACAAAAAGCAGCACTCTGATAATGTATGCATTGTCCTTGAAATTGATTGGTCCACACCAGAAACAGCTATTTTTAGAGCCCAGTCTCATATTTCCTGTTGTTGTTGTACCGAGTGTTCTTCTGCATGACGAACACGCGGTCGTTTAGGCGATCGTTTCGCCCCACGGCCTGGGAGCTTCATCGGGTTCCGACGGAAGCTCCAGACGTTTAGAACTGCGGGCGCAATGCGTTTTAAGTCGTCACAATGAGCTACACGTGACGGATTCCGTCCAATCGCAAGGCAGTTATAATCAGCACGCTACCACAAAGCCGGCGTGCGATCACAGCACGCGGCGTCAGCGTTGTCCGTCAAAGGTAATCGATTCCCTCTTGTCTTACAGCTTTCGTGACTGCAGGAATTAATATCCTGTGGGTCTTTCGGTGAAGTCCCGTAGATGGGTTCAACGAAAATAACAACCTATCTACGTGACTTCACCGAAAGACCCAAAGAATATAGAATAAATTACGTTTTGGAAAACGGTAAAAAGTTAGGTTTAGATTCAAATCACTTAATTCTAATTCCGGGCGGAATCTGAAACGTGTCTGATAAGATTGACGGTGTGGTCTGCTGGCTAGAGATGACAGGTTAGAGGTGGCAGCAACGTTTTAGTGGTGCAATGTTGTTGCATGGCTAATAACGGCGAATTATTTTGAGATAACAGTTTAGACAGTTTCACGTAATCACATCCAAACACATTTCACGGTTATCGACATCCGGACAGGGTGGGTGCAGTGGCAACATTTGTGCCTTCCAGCAAGAAGGCCCTGTGTTCAATTCACGACTCTGGGTGCCTTTCTGCGTGGAGTTTGTACGCTCTCCCCCTTGTTCCCGCATTGAGTTCCTCCGGGTTCTCAAATTTCCTCCCGTAGATGAAAAAACAACAACAACAACAACAACCGTGCATACACCATCCCAGTGCTGAAACAATGATCTGCAACTTGCTTGGGATGACATTTAGCAGCGACATTTATCCCTTAACTCCAAACAGAATCTTAGCAGGACCCTCTTGAAAAAGAGTCTTGAAACTCGGTGATACTTTCCTGCATTAACAAGCGTAGACATGATAATTTTTAAAATACAGGGTGTGGCTAATTTTATCATTCATTATCAACTAATTAGAATTAGACAGCTGTTGGAGCTGAAGTGATAAAACCACACACACACTCCGTCAACAGCACAGCCAAATAAAGCACAACCGTGCCAAATTGTATTATTGTGTCAGCATCGCCGGTGTGGTTGGGTCCGGACGTATCTCACAACCGTTTTTAGCCACTAGATACGCGACGTTTCGCTTGAAACTGCGCCAGGCATATTCAGGACATGACAAGTGGTCAGCATGTCGGGTGGAGGAGAGTTTCACGCCACGCGTTTTGTTCGGGATTATCACCTGACCCTGGACTCAGCCAACACAATCGATTATGTATCATAACGGTGGCCTCGATTTATCAACTCGATCGAGTAACGACTCGACTCTCGTCTGATACAGAAAACACAACAAGTTCGTCAATAACAGTGTGTGGCCTTAAATTATAAAATATATGATAATCGACGTTTCGGGCATATGGCCCTTCTTCAAAGCACATCGATTTACTCTCGTACCTATCGCTAACTAACTGCTTCCGATGAACAAACGCGTTCGGGATATAAAACAAAGAATCCCACGCGCCATCGCGCGTGATCACTCTCCTTCCTCCCTTCCTGGTTTGTTTGTTTGTTTCATTGCTGCTCGTCGTCGTCGTCGTCGTCTTGTGAATTCGTTAGCGGGCCGAGCCATGGTGGAGACGTTCAAGGTGGCGGTGCTGGGCGCTCCGGGAGTGGGCAAGACGTCCATCATCCGGCAGTTCGTCTCCAACGAGTTCGGCGAGACGTACGCGCCGACGCGCACGCGCGCCGTCTACGCGCCCGCGCTCGTCGTGAACGAGCGCGTGCTGGAGTTGCGCATCCTCGACGTGCCGCCGATCGCCTCCTTCCCCCTCAACTCCTTCCAGGTGCGCGGCTCACTCGGCCACCGCGTTGTCCCTCTTCTCTCTCTCTGTTTTGTTTTGTTACGATGCAGTGGAAACAAGAAGATGCTCGGTGTATTCGGCACTTTGCTTCGTTCATCATTTCGTAATTTTTATTATTTCTTTACATTTTTAGACTTTGCTTTATGTAAACCCCCACCTCTCGCTCACTCTCTCGCTCACTCTCTCTGCCTCCTCTGTTCACTTTCTCTGTCTCTCTGTTCTGTCTCTCTGTTCTGCTTGTCGCCAGCCTGTTCATCGGCATGTGTCTTGATCGTTTTTTGAGCCGGGTCGTTTGTGGCCAGGTCGCTTCTGAAAAATACGCTAATATAGCTCGGTGGGCTTCACCTGAGCAGTCCTACCAAAGCAGTGGGTGGGAGCCCAAGAGCGGAACCAACGTGTGGCAGGGAGTGGGGGGGGGGGTGTCAGCTCGCCGCTTGTCACGGTTGAGCGCATGTGGCCTTCCTCCCGTCGCGTGCCAGGAGTGGTCGGACACGCGGTGCCGGGGCCTGCGCAGCGCCCACGCATACGTCCTCGTCTATGACATCTGCTGCTTCGAGAGCTTCGAGTACATCAAGGTGCTGAGGCAGCAGATCCTGGATTGCAGGTGCGTGACTCCCACGTGCATGTACAGGGTACTTGAAAAAAAAACAACATGTTCACACTTCTGAGAATTTGCAACGATACCACGAGAAACGTGGCCCCGGGGCTCTGGAGACCACCTGGAGAAGATTCCAGGCGTGTGTTGACAACGATGGCGAACAAGTGGAGACTCTTTGACTTTTTGAAGCTATTAATGTACATTTGTTAGCATGTTACAGTGTACAATTTTGACTCACAACTTTCGTGACTGCAGGAACAACGGGTGATGTAGGCTGCTGCGGGGCATGCGTTGTCTGGATGAGGGTAAGGGCGCAGCCCTGCAATCATCTGCTCACGCTCCTGCTGGCTGAATGGCGTCCACTAGAAGGAGCTCGAGACAGCCCCACTAGCGGGCGGGGGTGTTTTTGGCCTACTCTTCCACGCTGGTCGGACGTCTCTGAAGAGGCGTGAGCAACCACGCTTTACCCCACCACACACAACCTGGCGATCGGCTAACTCTGGTGTAACCCATTTCTACTGCTGGCTTAGAATGAGGCGGCGGTGCGGTTTTGGGGGGTGGGGGGTGGGGGGGGGAGTAACTGCCGCGCCGCGAGATCGAACCGAAACGGCGAGCGTCTGCACGGCGTGTCAAGCGTGCTTTAAACCATTCCACCGTAGCCAGAGCCGGCCCAGCAACTAAGCGACCCTTGCAATTGCAAAGGGCCCCGTGGCCAGCAGAGGGCCCCCTAGAGTCACTGCGAGCTAGTGGGTGAAAAAAATCATACATCAAAGGGGCCTCCAACCAAATTTTGCTTAGGGCCCCCAAAGGTCTAGGGCCGGTTCTGACCGTAGCAAGTGCTGGGTGCTGGATGTGAATTCCAATGCGGCTGGAAATACACAACAACAACAACAACCAATCCGGGCTGTCTTAACCAGGAATTGCAAAGAACAGTGGCAGCGATGGAGGAGGCGGTAGATTGAGGGGTGGGCAGGGAATTACGAAACTTGGGTCTGTGTAATAATACGAAACTATTTTGTTTTTAAATTATCAGGTAAGGCCCACTGAGCTGTGTAGCTCTATTTCAGAAGCGACCTGGCTATCACAAATGATGGCCCAACGAAGGGGCTTAACATCACGTGGAAATGTGAAGGGAAAAACCGGAGGACCCGGAGAAAAATCCACGCGACCACGGAGAAAGAAAGAGACACACACAAACTCCAAATATACAACAGGCGTCAGGGTCGGGATCGAACCCACGACCTCCTGTACACCAGGCGAGGTAGTTAACACCTCGCCGCCGGGACGCCACAATAATCCCGTATCATTCAAGAGCACCTCGGCTGGAATTAAAACCTCGCCTCATGCCGACCACGGGGTGTGTGGATTGGTAGGGGTTAACGCTCGCCGCCGTTTTTCAATTAAGCACAGGCAAGCCGGCACGCAGCTTCCATGACCTCTGCAAGCTGCATCAAAAAAATATAGAGGTGGGACGATGTAATTATACATTTCCAGCCTTCGCTTTTGTCGGCACTTGTGGAGCGAGTCGCTCGGATGGCCGGGAGTGGCACGAGCGTCACTGAATATTTCAGTCGGGGCCGTTATATACATAAAAAATTAATATATTGTATCTCGTGCGGGTGCTTCCAGCTCTTTACTAGATTTCTGGGCAACATCGTGGAAGATTAGGCCAAAAATACCCATCTGGAGGGAGTCTCTCTCGCTCTCGTGGAGGCCCTGACAACAGCCTAATCACCCGGAATTGCACCCACGTGCGTCAGAGCTCGCAATCTAAGCGGGTTTGAGCCTGGATAGTAACGCTTGGATGGGTGACCGCCCTTTGTTAGACAGGTTGCTCTCGGCGACTGTGGGGTTACGTCGTGGGCAGCATGGTCAAGTATAGTCCAATGACCTCTCCTCACGGCCGGCGTGATGTATGGAGGCCCCATCGAGCAGTGGATTAACACAAAAGCTGCACTTGTGTACACGATGACGTTGACGGTGATGGGGGTGGGGCTGTGTCTACACAGACTGGGAAGTTAACTTATGGCCTTTCGATTGCGAGTCAAGTGCCCGACCACTCAATGATTATTAACCAGGCTAAAGACTTTTTTCAGTGGTACAACTGCCGGGATATTGCGATTTAATGGGCTCCGTTCCAGTCAACCACCAGCTCCTTATTTTATTTTGGAGTTTTTAGCGGATGCCACCGCGGCCGGTTTAATTAGTGAGAGAGATTCACGGCCCTCCTGGAACACGAACTAATTAAATTGGCCGCCGTTACTAGCTCTCAGCTCACTCCTGGCTAGGATAAAGGATCGGCCCAAATGGATTTTTGATGATAATTATTTATCCTGCCTTTTTTACGTTGCCTGCTTAGGAAGCGATCCGTCGTTAAACGCTCATCGCTCCCCGTTCTCACGAAGACTTACCGTTGCCCTACGGGCGAGGAATCGGCACATTGTATACCAGTGATTGAAGAGGACGATTTCAGGTCCAGGAAAAGCGACGGGCTGCTGGGGTCCTGGGCTGTTGCGTAATCTGTGCGGTGCACGGAGGCTGTTTTTTTTCTTATGCTGCTGCGATTTTCTTTTGAATGAACTGGCCGCTTTATTTTCACAGTTCCGCAACTTTTCCCATCGCTCGTCCGCGTTGGTTTTCGTCACAACAGCACTGCACATCTCGCGTTACTCAGAGCCGCAGTCACCATCATCTTCTGCCAGCAATGGCCGATTAGCGTTACCATTAGTGGCTCGGCATAGAGGAAATTCGTCAAAGTGCGGCTGAACGTAAAATCATGACACAATATTCTCCGGATTATGAGATGCTCTGGAAAGTAAGATGCACAACCAAAACTTGTGCCCGGTGTCAATATAGGATTATGGGAAAAGTGCGTCTATATAAATCGGACAATGTGACATTTTTTGAACCGTTTCTGCCACTGTGATCCAATTGTGCTATCAGATATTTTGTCATGGGCCAAATAATTTATTAGGAAATCTTGCAGAGCAGCGAGCCCGACGTGAACAACTAGGGGAGGACATCTCGCGAAATATCATTCAAGTTCGTTCGTGTCTCAGTCCGCTTGTCCTGGTGAGGGTCGCGGCGGCAGCATATTGAGCAGTGGTGGTCGAGACCTCCCTTTCCCTGGCGACTGACTCTGGCTCTTCCTGGGGAATTCCCAGGCGTTCCCAGGCCAGCCGAGCGACATAGTCCCGCCAGCATATCCTGGGCCAGCCTCGGGGTCTTTGCCTAAGTGTATTTTTGATATCCAAACATTAGCGGCCGATGCAGTGTCCTACACACTATGAAAGAGATATATATATTTACCGTCGGGCAGTCAAACAATATACATATTTTTGTAATTCTCAGAGCTGGACTTTAGTGAGAGTGCAAACTAAATTAAATTTGACAAATTTCTCTTGTATGGGGTTTTTACGACCAGTTTGAGACCGTGAAAACGTCACTGTCGAGATCCCTGCTTAGTCACGGACGGCAGCTGAAACCCAGATTCAAACCCAGGATCTCAGCGCACCGGCTCAGAAACTTTTGACCTATGAGACATCGGGCCAGCTATAATATGCTTGGCTACAAGCCAGCGAGATTGGGCTTTGCTCGGGAATTCAGAGAGCGTGGCAAAGAATAGTTCATCATCTTGCATTATTATGACAAAATTGTCTGGAATTTAGGTTATATATTTATTTTATGTTGTCTCCTTTGTCCGGGTTGTGAAAGGAACGCTAATTTCGATTCGGCGTCTGTGCCGATGCGTTTCTTGGCCCCATTATTTATTTTCCGGTCCCTCGTCTCGCCGCTGTGCAAGGAAGGTCACAGGATGCATGTGGAAAAGTGGAACGCTAAACCCGTCAACGAAAAACACCCGCATAATTATTTGATTTTGGCCACGTGTTGTTCGCATTCATTTTACCCATTACAGCCAACAGCCCCGCTGGGGCTCTGGTGATGTGAGAAAGTAAGTGCAGGGCTGGACTTTTGTGTTTTACCTCTTAGCCATACCTTGTCGCAGGTCCCTGGTTTGTGCGTGGTAGTCAGTTCTAACGAGCCACCAAATCTATTTGCTTTCTTTCTGCCCTGAAGGCCACTGCCTGATAATATATTTTTCGTGTCAATGTAAATGTGTGGACGTGTACAGCCCTTTGTTATCGTGAGCGAGCAGTTGCAGGGCTGCACCTTTACCTTTGGATTTTGGGTCTTGGCTGGTACATACTTGCGTATGGTCGGATGAATAGAAACTCACGAGTCTATGTCCAGACTATTCTGGCCATAAAATGGCTTGAGTTGATGTGGGTGGTGAATTGCTTTAAGTCTCCGTTGATTTTCATTCAAAGTGATTCATTAGTACGTGAGGCCTCTATGAGTCTCTACGTGAGCCCACACAGAGACTCATACACTCACAAAGAGACTAATAGACTCGTGTAGAGACTCAAAAGACTCGCAAAGAAACTCGGAGACTCACACAGAGCTCACGGTAGGTGTCCGCTTGTGTGGTCGACGGGCTGGTTGCTGATTCTCCAATCGCTTGTCAGGCTATACGGTACAATGCAACAGCACATGCCACGAGCGATAATGTGCAATGCAATTGCAATGTAATTTGGATTCAGATGGCATCTTAATGCCACTGCGTCTCAAGATGCTGTACAATGGCAGTAGGGTGGGGGTGGGCAATATGGGGGGGGGGGGGTGTCAGCGTATCGCCTTTTGCACCAGGTGAAGCTGTGTTTAAGCGATGCCAGGACACGGTATATATATTTTTTTACAGGCTGTCAGAAATCCAATAACACTGTTCGGTGCGAGCCACTTGGCATTATGGGGCTTTTGGGACGCAGGGGGGGAGGCTCTGGGGGGCTTCTGGTGAAACGGGGTCCCCTGGCACCCCAGGGGACCCCTCGGCCACGGTTGCATGGCCCCTGTGTTGGTGTCCGTGTTGTCTACCGTGACACCTGAGGCCGGTGCCTTTTATTTTAGCTCAAGCGGCGCTGCCTCCCACCTCCGGCGCTCTCCACACCTCGACCTTTGGCCCCAGACCTTGTTATCAGCCCTCTTGCATCGCTGTCTCTCTCAATCGTCTCTCCGAGTCGCCGTGTATGTTTAAACACTCCCACCGCTCGCCCAAAATTGCCTGCGTTGCGAATTCGTTCGTGTTCCTCGCCCCACGCCGTCTCATTTCGTCTCTCTCTCCTCTCTCTCTCTCTGTCTCTCCCCGCTTGGTGTGCTTCCCGGTTTGTGCATTATCCCTTCATCTCACGATTTCTGTCCGTCTCCTCCCTGCGTGTCAACTGAATGGCCTCAGAGGTTCAGTGCGCTGAGGTGGCACCACTCAGATCCTGGGTTTGAATCCAGGTGCTTGCTGACCGTGTTGAAACCAGGTTTTTAGGCAGCGGCGCCGTTCGTTCACCTGTCCATTCACCCACCTGTCCATCCGTCCCTCTGTCCGTTTGGCCATCCTTACATCCGTTTATGTATCCTTCTACCTGTCTGACATCCGTCTGTCTTCATGCCCATCCATCTACTTGCCCGTCTAACTGGCCGTCTATCCATAGGCCCGTCTATCCGTCCGTCCGTCCGTCGTCGTCTGTCGGTTTGTCCGTTCCTCCCGTTGATGTGTCCATCAACCTTCAGTGTGTGTCCGTCTCTCTGTCTGTCCGGCCACTTGTCTGTTTGTCCATCCACCCATCCATTCGCAGGTCCCTCTTTTACCCTTGAAAGGACCCACGGCGCGCGTCCGTTGACACATCCATCGGTTCGCCGACCCTTCCGTGTATCTGCTGTCTTTTCTTAGATTTTCTGTTTACGCTTAGTCACATATCCACTTTAAGATGTTTTCTTGTTCATGTTTTTGTCTGTTGCGGTTGCACCCGATTCAAGAGCCGAATGGCTCACAGGGCTCTATACCTAACAAATGAAACTGAACTTGAATCTGCCCGTCCATCTACTATTCCGCTGCAACTCATCCGTCTCATCAACCGTAACCCCGTGTCTTACCCCCCCCCCACCCCCATCTCAGGGCTACCGATGTCCCCATCCTCATCGTGGGCAACAAGCGTGACCTGCAGCGACGACGCGTCATGCCGCGACGCACCGTGGCGCAGCTCGTCAAGAAGTCGTGGAAATGCGGCTACGTCGAATGCTCGGCCAAGCACAACTGGCGCGTACTGCTGCTCTTCCGCGAGCTGCTGCGAGGCGTCGGCTGCGGCGGCGGCGGCGGCTGCAAGTACGCGCACCCGTCCATCCGCCTGCACGGGGCACTTCGACGCAACCGCTGCAGCGTTATGTGAACGGGCGTGATGGCTGGTCACGGCCACCCACCCCAAAATCCGGGTCTTGACCTCGCTGGGTTTTAGTTTTTACCACCCCCACCACACTTCTCCCCCCCGCCGATTTTGACAACCAGGGAGGGAGGGGGAGAGTGCCGAGATCCACCACGCCGGGTTTTTGTAATCGCCCGGTGGCACCGGCGGGCGGCGGGGTCGTTTGGTTGATGAGGAGAGCACAGCGGGAGAGAGAGAGCGAGCGAGCGAGGCGGCGTCGCGTTTGCCACCGCCGCCGCGCACACAACACGACCCGCTGTGAGCCGCTGTTGGGCTTGCAGCACGGGGGAAAACATGGAGCGACAACCCGCCTGAAGATGCGACCTGGAGTCGTCGTCGTCGCTGCTGCTGACAGCGGTCGGACGATGTGATGATGAGTTTGGATGAGATGGAGACCGACGATGATGATGGTGGTGATAAGATCGGCGTGTGTGCAGCTGGTGCATCAGCTGCGCTTGACACGAATGCCGCTGCGGCTGACCTTGCAGATGCCGCTGATGCTTCTGCCGATGTCACGTGTCAATCACCTGTCAGCCACGTGTCAGTCACGTATCAGTCACTTGTCAGTCACGTGTCAATCACCTGTCAGCCACGTGTCAGTCACGTGTCAATCACCTGTCAGTCACGTGTCAGTCATCCGTGGCGGCGATGGACTGGAGAATGGACGATCACTACCGCTGTTAATGTCATTGCAGTTGTGCCATTGTTACGAATTGTTATTTATATTTTTTAAAGTCCACGGCAGTCAGTGGTGATGTTAAGCACCCGCCTCACTTTCTTGCAACGAAATAGAATCTAGCGCCGAAGTGGAACGGTGCAGTTTTGTTGCAAAGGACGTTGCCAGCGACAGCGTTGTGGTTGTTGTTGTTTACCGGCGACGCTCTATTGATCGCAGGGGAAAACAACCGAGTAAGACATCGCAGGGTCGTGAGAGATGGCGACAGCATGGGGGGAGGGCTTTATCCAGCAGTGGAATCACCATGGCTGTCGATGATGATGAGGCTGATGATGAAACACTGGGAATTAAAGTTGCATGCGGGTCTGCAACTCGGAGGAAGTTTGCTCTAGACCAGTGGTTCTTCTTCTTGGTTCTTTCGGTAAAGTCACGTAGAAGGAAAATAATAAAAATAAAACATAATAAAATAATTCTCACGACGTTTCGGCCACAACGCAAGCAGCCGTCCTCAGGTGGAGAACAGGTCTGTGGCCGAAACGTCGTAAGAATTATTTTATTATGTTTTATTTTTATTATTTTCCTTCTACGTGACTTTACCGAAAGAACCAAGAAGATGAACCCCTGCAGTTACGAAAGCTTTAAACCAGTGGTTCTTATTCTTCACCTGGGGTGCACGCACGCCATGCCTGGGCTGCGAGATGCCCTTTCTGGGCTGCAACAAGACATGTAACAAGACATGGGCAGATTTGTTTTCATTTCTAAGCTAAATCATCAAAAATCTAATTAAGCACGGGAACGTTAAGTTACAACTTACTTTGTTTCATCAAACCCCATGTATGTATTTAGGTGATTTAATCCAAAATTATTGACGATTGAGAACCATCGAGGTTTAAGAGCCACTGGCATCTACTAAACGCCTGTTCCACGTTGTTCTTGCACTGGCAACGCGCACTCCGAGTTGGGTGGGTAAGGGTCATCACGGAATCCTTCTGCTACCACAACATCGCGTGATGTGGCTATCATGTTTACAGTGGCACACTTGTCAACCCCACACACACACACTTGTCAACCCCACACACACACACTTGTCAACCCCACACACACACTTGTCAACCCCACACACACTCACTTGTCAACCCCACACACACACGGTTTACCTGTATTCTTGTACAGGGGGCATTGAGCAGAACTATGTTTTTGTGTCTTATTTGGTTGTGTTTCTCCCGCTTTTGACGGGACTTTGTGGGATGAACGTTGAGATTTATAAGGGACAGGAGGTGACCAGCAAGGTGTGAATTGGTCTGTGATAAGACAGGGCACTGATAAGGGAGTTGACAGGTATGCAATGGCGAGGTGACGTTTGCTAATTCTCTGCACGATTCTTGTCTGTATCAAGCTAAATAACACAATTCTCTTTAGATTTGTTAAAAAAATATAACTTTAATGATTTTTTTTGCCTCTTGAAATATTTTTTGTTTTTTTTTATTCATAGGCCGAGCAAGGCACATTGATGTTGCCTAGATTCTCTGCCGGCCCCCTGTGGGCAGGGCCGCCCAGGAAAGAGGGGAGGGCGGGGCTCGGGCCCTCTGCCAGTCGATCACAAAGAGACACGTGGCCGTGGTTGAGTCGAATGGCTCAGTGCGTGTGCAACTTTGTTGCCGAATTAGGGGCCGTCCATAAATGACGTCACGCACCTGGGGGGGGCGGGGTCAGACGTTTGTGACGATGTGTGACGAGGGAGGGGGAGGTTTGAGAAATGTCACGTCACATGAAAATGCACAACTTTCAATAAATATAGACAACACGTTCTACTTAATTAAATAGGCTGTTTAATAAATGTTTTCTCCTACAACATCAGAGTTCAGCGCCACATTAAATACGCACTACAATGACAATAGTTTAAAGCGATTTGAAGCATGTTTTATTTTTTTTGGGGGGGGGGGGGGCAGAGCTTTGTGACGTCATATTCGAGGGGGTGGGTCTGACTTTGTGTGACGCCGTGTGACGAAGAGGGGGGGGGGGTCAAAAATCGTCCAAAATCGCGTGACGTCATTTATGGACGGCCCCTTAAAACAACTAATAGCAATGCCGTCGCAACGTTGAGGATGACACATCGTGCAACGTTCGAAAGACGCAACAAAGTTACGGGTGGGAAAATTGCACCTTTTTTTTACTTTGTCTAATTAACGAGGCCACAGAATAGACAGCGACAGAGAAGATTGGAGTTGTGTCTAAGCACGGTTTGGGTTTGTCTCTGTTAATGAGTGTCTGTGTCAATATGCATGAGTGTATGCGTGTCTTTGAGGCAGCTTGTGGTTATCTGTATGAATGTCAATGTAGTTTCAAAATGGGTTCGTCCTGCACAGTCGCCGTATTCTCTTGTCCGTCCGCTACAGCACAGGTGTAGGGAATATCAACATGACCATATGTCTCTGCTTTATTGACCCGGTCAAGGCTTATGATACCATCAGTAAGGCCTGGGATGTGGGTTATTATTCGTGCTTTTGGGGACCTGATGCTCTGCTCACAATCATTGTGATGGGCATGCCGAGGTTAAGCTGCGTGGCCAGGAGTTGGAGCCATATACCCTGTCGACCTTCGGGTGCAACAGGGATGTGTCTTGTGGCTCCTACGTTATTAAAAAAAAATGACCGTGTATTTATAGACTCTTTCCATGGCTGTTCCAGTGAAATTTCCATTTGGTACAGAGGAAATGGGAGGCTGACTGATACCTTTTTGATCAATCATGTTAATAATGCTGATGACTGCGGCTGTACCTGGAACGTGCCACGTATAGGTGGCGCCAACCCAACAGAAGCAGCACATGCCTGGGTATTTTGTGTCATCAAACACTCCACCGATCGCAGCACCCCGTGAGTGATGGGACAGTTGTGGAGAGAGTGGAGAAGTTCCCATACCAGTTCCGGTTTGGCAGCAGCAGTCTTCAAATCAGTGGAGTGGCATCTTTTCATCAGTTTAGTAACACTGGAAGCTACATTGACTGTCACTCCATATGAAGCTGTAGGTCTTCTCGGACAGTTATGCCCTCCTCAATGCTTGCTAAAAGTAGGAGCCCCCCTTTTAAGGAACGTCTATGCCGGTTTGAAACAATAAGGCTGGCCTGCCTATGATTCATCCTGGGTTTAACTAGACTGGATTGTGTGAGCTCACAGATTCTTGAAAGATCTGGATATAGTCCGATCGGTAAGCTCGTTGGGCAGGCGTTGGCTGGGTCATGTAGCCCACATGACCCAGCCATCGCATGTCCAAGCAGATTTTATTTGGCCGGATAGAATGGGCTAAACGGGTCACGGCACAGGCTAGAGAGGAGATAGGCTGATGTGATACAAGAAGATATGGAGCTGTGTGGACTTGCCGATGACTGGTACCAGCGGTATCAAGGTCGGATTCTGTGGAGGAGTTTCATAAAGGATGATATTCGGAAGTTGGAGGCTGTTGCCCTCTAAGAACAATGCAGGGCTGAGGGACAATGCTCACAATGAGCAGAGTGCCGGGCAGATAAAGCGCAGCACGATGGCACAGTGGGGAGCACTGGCGGTGCCTCTGCCAGTCATCTCAGTCAACCCACGGTACCTGAGTCTGTCCCGTGATCTGTCAGCGAGCCCTCGACACTTCGCGTCACCCCAAAATGCACCTAGCCTGGCACAAGTGCTGTTGTGACGTCACCGCGACTTAGTGGCGAATGGCGGCTGTTCTTGTTGAGTGCGTGCATGAGTAAAGCTGTTTATGTGAGTGTGTGCATATCCGAATTGTGCACCTATTTTGTTTACCTTTTTACGCGTGTAAAACAGTGGTGCAGCTGATCACGTAGTGTGCCATGATCCAGCCGACCCGACTTCGATTTCCGGCCACGGCTAACATCAGTGGCTCGTCATATCCAAACTGGTCCCTGGGCCTCCCATGCGGCGACTCAGCCTTAAAAGAGCGTGTAAACATAACGAAGTCGGCCAGGCGTGGTGCTGGCCACACCACGTCCTGTTGCGCCGTGCAGGCCTTAATAGAATTGCTGTCTAAGAGCACTTGCCCCAACAGTCTAAGAGGCTATATGGGAGATATTTGTCTTTTGTATGAGTCGGTGTGAGCATGTGAATGAGAAATGAAATGTGCTGTAAGGGGGCACTCGTGGGTAAAAGATATGTGTGTGAGACACAGAGCACATAAATGTTTAAATCAGTCTTACCAGACCGTCGTCGGCAATGACATACAAATTGTTATAATATATTTAACGTGTTTTTTTTGTGATTCATTATTTTTACTAGCCCCACACCCGACGCATTGACGATGGACTTCACTTATTATATAATGTGAGTGCGCGATTACAAACGTTTATACTGACTTTACTAAATGTGTTGAAGCATTCTCATTTTATGTATTCACCACATTCTGGTCATGTCCATTACAGTGGCCGCCGAGGTTTCGCCAGCCGCCAGCACTTTGAATGCCTAGCTTCTGCTGCACCGAACATTTCTGCCGGAGTCGTCGTATGATCCACCACTACACTGATGAATAGATGTCATTCCTCTGAATAGATGACGTCCTTTGGGAGGAGAGGACTGCACAAATCTGGGAGAACTGGGTGGGCTCCACGTCACCGCCAAATGTCCATTTGTGCCATTAAATTTCACTCTTTATTTTAGCGGCGTATCACTGTGATGGTGAGTCCCCTACACAACAGCTTTCCTGCCCCCCCCCCGCCCCTACCCTCGCCGTTCGCGGGGAAGACCTTGAGCCAGGCCTGATGCAGGCGTGTTTCACCATGGCATAAAATGCCAGCCAATCACACGAGATGCACGAGAGGGCGATGCTGCGATCACAATGAGCTGCCGACACACAACCCTTCCCCTCCCCTCCTTTGTAAGAGCTTTCAAGTTAATCTTCCAATAATTACAAAGTGAAAGTAATTATAGGGAGTAATTATCCGAAGCGTGCTATGCAACCTCTTAATTATTTTTAACTGAAATGTGGAGTTTCGCAGTCTCCGCACCCGTGGATGTTTCACTCCCCAGGCAGGGGGCCACCACTTGGCGTCTCTCGTCCCCACGGTTCGTGAATTTGTTCAACATCGCACGCGGTAAGACGTCGCGTATCCGACTCGCTGGCGACGAGGGGTTATAGAGCGGATGTTGCGAGAAGGTCGGATATGCGAACGTGTGTTACGAAATTACAAAGGTTGCTTGGCAAATATACGGCTGCAAACTGCTTTAAACACGGAGAAATGCTTTACTCGGCTTTAGAAGTAAACACAATGGATGCAAGGTTAAGAGGAACACGTGGCTGTGTGTGAGAATATCTGAGTGGTGAAAAAAATCTACAGAATGTGACCAGTGACACCACGCACAAAATACTGCACTGAGTGTGGGATGATTAAATGGTCAGGGTGGATATGTGATGGTCAGTTATGTAACGTTGTGTT